TTCAGGCATGATCCACCCCCATAGCTGCCCACCAACACCTAATTTTACATGCATTAATTTTTTCTATTTTTTTGTGGTACTGGGATTTGAACACAAGGACTTTGTGCTGACCTAATTTCAACCTCCTTGTGATGTTTCATTTTTAAGCAAATTGACACTCAAATTTCATGTGGCCCAGGATGAATTCAAACTTGTTACCCTCTGCCTCACCACTGGAGTGCTGCGATTACAGGGGTGTGTGACCACTCTAGAGTTGTTTTTCTTTTCTGTTTATTGGGAGTTCTTTGTTTGTTTGTCTTCCCTTTTGGGAAGGTACTAAGTTGCCATTTTGCCTTAGCTAAGAACAAATATTATGACATCTCTGACTGGTAATTTTTGAGGGTGTCACGAGAAGATTCTCACTGAATCACCATATTGTCTTAGCTGGAAAAAATTTCATTACATTCCAAGAATTTTTTTTTTAAGGCTCAGAAAGTCACACAGTTCCTCGGGCCAGACTGGAACTTGTGATCATCCCAACTCAGTCTAGTAGATGATGGAATAATATCCATGCACCACAAATCCTGGCTTATAGATTTTTAAATAATTTCTTCCTGTTCACTAAAATTATTGATTACCAACTTTGTGGTGGTATGAATGGATAAATCAAAAGTTGCTTTTCACTGTAAAACAACTTATGCAATACTTGAAGTGGATTAGCTTGGTCTGATGGGGCACACCAATAATCCTAGCACTTAGAAGGGTGAGGCAGGAGGATCTCCAGGAGTTCAAGCCCAGCCTGAACTATAGAAAAGAACAAGACTCTTTCTCCAACAAAAGGTAAAAGAAAAACACGTGGATCTGTCTCATGCACATCTTCATCTTAAGTGGTAATTTCACACGTGAGAATGTGTGGGAATCTACATCTCAGTATTTTCCATATTAACTTTATTTTCATTCATTTATTTACTGTCTTTTTGAGACACAGTCTCGTTATGCAGTTCTGGCTGTCCTTCAACTCACTTTGTACCCCAGGCTTGTCTGGAACTCTAACAATCTTCCTGCCTCAGTCTCCCAACTGCTGGCCCTGCAGGCCTGCACCACCTCACTCAGCTCCATCCTAATTTTAAAGTGCTCAATAAAATTTTTTTTAGGTTTTTATTTTTTATGCTTATTTTTTGTCTTTTTTGAGACAGGGTCTCTCTATGCAGTTCAGGCTGGCCTCGAGCTCATTTTGTAGCCCAGGCTGGTCTCAAACTCGCAACAACCCTCCCACCTCAGCCTCCTGAGTGCTGGGATTAGTTATTGATATATAAACTTCACCATTTCTCACTAGAAATCTTTTAGTGGTGCATGAAATGGCTTTGACAGAGGAGGAAGGGTGAAAGGGAACTACATTTCTGATGACTTAGAAGTTTGTAGTAAGCAGATGATGATTTTATCTATTGTAGCTCTGAGAGATTATAAAGAAGGGGTCAGATATGTAACAAGTATGCTCATACCAGCAGCATGGATTTTGGGGCTGTATTGAGGTTTTGGATCAGACATGTAACGTACTCAGAACAAGGCATCAGAAAACTTTGTTTTTATGTTTTGGTTTGTTTTTCATTTGTAGTTTCGGCTGAGTTAGCCTTAAACTCACTCTGTGGCCCAGGTTGGCCTTAAATTCCCAGGGACCCTCCATCCTGACCTCCAGACTGCTGGGCTTACAGCTGTGGTCACCACACCTGGCTGACATCAGCAATTCCAAGGGGCAACCCCAGAGTTTGCCTAAGTCAATCCTGACCTATGGAGTAAGGTGCTAACTCATCCTCTGCTTCTTGGTGAGGGAAACTGAGGGAGGCTAAGGCATCTGCCCAAGGCCACACAGCTCCCAGAGGGTAGCACCAAGACAGAAGGTGGGGAGGAGAGGAAGTCCCTATGGCCCATCCCTCTCCAATACTCTCCAGCCTCCAGCTCCCTGGGAGCCTCATTCCCTCTCGGGTCCATCCCCTCCTCCCCTCTTGCATGTTCTATCCTCAGCCTTTGCTCCTCTGCTCTTCCACCTCCACCAGCATCTCTAAAGACAAAAACCACACAGTCCTCATTGCCCAGTGCATGGGAGACAAAGAAGCCACTGGGAAAGGGTGTTTGAGGACTGCGGTATAGCAGAGTGTGATGTGGAAAGCTGGGTGTCACAGCAGTGGTCTTTTATTTCTGCTTCATGGATGAGCAGGACAAGCCCATGCTGGGACTAGGGATGGGGTGGGTAATAACAGGGATGCAACCTTACCCAGGTTTGCTGGAGAGAATAGGAAGTGGGCAGAGAGTAAGAAACATTGCAGAAGCATAGATGCTTAGGACTCTGTGCAGACTCCCTGCTATCCTTCACCCCAAATCCTAGTTCAAGCTGGAAATCACAGTAGTATCTCCCTCAAAGAATGAGTGAGGAAGCCAGGTGTGGTGGTACACATCTATAATCCCAGCATTCAGGAGGCTGAGGCAGGAGGATGGTTGAGACTGTGGGCTACAAAGTGAGTTCAAAGCCAACCTAAACTATATAATGAAGCTGTGTCTCAATAAGGCAAGAAAGGGGGGGATAGGAATAGGTACACTTGTGAGCCCATTCACAGGTGAGGAAATCTGAGGTTGACCATTTGAACAAAGCCACACAAGAGACAGTGGTGGACAATAGAATGCTGGTAATGCCTGTTACCCAAATTTCCACAATCCAAACTATCATCCTTGTCTCCACTGTGCTCTCCAGACTTTTCCTACTCTGATCAGCTCATCCATCTGCTCTCCCCCTCTCTAAAATATAGAGAAGCCTTTCCTGTCCTCTTGGGGTGTAAGAAGGTTTATAATTGTAATCCTAAGGAGCAGTTATTGGATTCTAGTGAGTTAATTCCAGTCTACCACTTCCCGTGTACCCCATGGCAAGAAGACAGACTCTGGGATATAAGTACAGATATAGGGAGCCAAGGGGTCCTAAGCCCAGCCAAGGTGGTGGTTCCCCAGCACAAGTCCTCCACCCAGAACCCTTTCCAGGTCTTATCAATTCCCCCTGACGGGAGCAGTTCAGGGATGAGTGACAGTGAGAGTGGTAGGAAATGCATGGCTGCCCTGAGCTGGGCTAGGGAGGAGACCTGACATCACCTCTGCCATGAGCAGAGGGCAAGAAATGCAGAGAAAGCAATCTGTGTAACACAGCTGAGGCAGTGTCTAACAATTAGGGGTTGGTGCTTCAGTTCTGATTTACGATCCTGTTTGCCCTGGGAAGTCACAGCTTCTTTCTCAAGGTTTGCTCCCAGCCCACAGCCTGGAGCACAGCTCCCCATCCCACCAGATCAATCACAGATTTGGGGAGTCTCTGGGTGGGGTAACACTGACCTGTCCCTTTGCTTTAGGTATTATACATCAGCTGCTCAGCCAGCCCAATTTACATGGCTTGAAGTCAATTAAAGGGACAAGGAAATGGCTTAGCCAGCTCTGTATATATAATACATGGCGACAAGGACAAGTTTATCCACAATGGAGATAGTGGCTCCTCTTTTCAAGGAGAGTAGTCTCTGGTTCCCCCCACTAAAACACTTCTTTCATCTTTCCATGCCTCAGCTCCACTAACTTCTGATTCATGTCCAGAGGACATTTTGCAGTTTATGTGCCTAGAGCTCCTGGGAATTGTGAAAAACCATCCATTTTATATATGGTCAGGAAAATGCCTATAAACGCTTGGCTTTGTGGTTTAGGCCCCAAATATGCTATTTCCCCCACTGTTGTGTAATTTAATTTATAAATACTATTAATAAAACCTTAGAAGGTGAAAGGTGTGGTTTTTGTTTTGTTCTGGGGTTTTTTTCCCCCCTTTTTGAGACATGGTCTCACTGTTGCTGTTGAGGTTGATCTTGGGCTCACTTTGTAGCCCAAACTCATCTCAAAGCTTGCAAAGCTCTTTATGTTTCAGCCTCCTGAGTGCTGTTATTATAGTTGGGCCCCTCCACACCTGGCTGGATAAGGTGTTTAGAGGCATCTTAGGGATCTTTGGGCTTTAAGAAGATGAAAACTGAGAACATGTGGGAGAGCTACATGCTTACCTATTATGCTGCAGGAATGCTGGTACATCTGCTAGAGATGGTTCCAGTGCAGCAGCAACCACTCAGCAGCATGGAGCACTGCACAGTGATCTTAGATTGGCTATTTGGAAGTCTCACACAATAAAGCAATTAAAAAGGATTTTGGAGTTTCCATGAAATTGAGGAGTTTCTACGATCAATTATTCTCTGTGCTCTCAAAGGACTGCGCACCACAGTGTCATCGAGGTTACATTGTATTTTCATCCAACAGTATCATGGAGGTACACTATATTTTCATCCAATCCACTGTATTTTCACCTAAGAAATTCGCAAACCAGCTGCTGACACTGCTGAGTGGTTATCCACTGAGTCTCTGTTTCCACTGCTAGGTAACAGATGACCTAGGGAACCAAAAAGGGAGGTGGCCATATCAGATCTGTCTCTACTCCTGCCACCTGTGGGCTATTGTATCATTGTTAAAATGAAAATTCATGACATTCATTTCATAGTCTGTGTATTTGTTTTAGCAGGCACATTTGAGAAGGGTTAACTTAGAGACTGGGCCATACGATTTTTCCATTTTCTTGGAGTTACATTTCCTTGGAGTGAGCCTGAGAATATTTTTCCACAACACATGGGAGTCAGTTTCCAATTTCTTGGCTCCCATTTTGCAATGGGTCCAGAGTTCAGGGTGCTCAGTTGGAAACGGGTCTGTTGCTCTCACCTTGCTTCATCTGGGTGCTAGCAGACAGTCTTCCTGGTGACCTTACAGGCAGCAGTAGTCCTTTGGGACCATGAGCACAAACTGATTTGGACAAATGGAGGACTCTTCTGCCCTTGTCAGACCAGGGACTTTTTGGCAGCACACTGGTTTCCCAATGGGTGTGAATGGGTGTCTCAGCCTGGCCTGAAAGGATGTCTCTTTCCTCAGTGTTTCCACAGCACCTCTGGCCCACCAGATTCACCAGGATGAGCATCCAGTCCCCAGACAGACTATTGAAACTGGCAATTCAAAGTCTGCTGAGAGACAAGACCTTGACCATGAGGGCTGTGGAGGATTTGCCAGGGGAGCTCTTCCCACCAGTGTTCATGGAGGCCTTTACCAGGGGACATGCTGAAGTCCTCAAGGCCATGGTGCTGTCCTGGCCCTTTCCCTACCTGCCCCTGGGAGTCCTGATAAACATGTGGAAACCAAGGATGTTAAACACTCAGCTGGATGTTGAGCAGGTGCAGAACAGGATGTTACAAGCCATGCTGGGTGCAGTGGATGTGCTGCTGAGCCAGAAGCTTTGTTCCAGGTGAGTATAACCCAGGTGTCCTGCAAGAAGGACCCTGGGATTCAAGTCAGGGACTGAAAGTACCAGGGAGACTAGGGGCTTAAGGGTGAAGCAGAGGCTTCTGAATGTGACAGGATCAGAGAAGCCTTGAGCATTGCTGAGTCAGCTGGGCATGAGCTGCCAGAAGGGCAGGACAGCTAATGCTAGATGCAGCAGTGAAAGGAGCAAGAAGTTCCTGGCTCCTTCCACAGACACCAGGAGTAGGGATGGGAAAAGGGGAACCAGAAAACTGCAGAACAAAGAAAACAGGAAGTGACCTCAGAGATGAATAAATCACAGGAGGAAATGGGTCCAGTCCAAATTCTCAGATTCCTTCCTGGTTCCCCCACAGGAGGCTGAAATTGCAAGTGCTGGATATGCGGGATGTGCACCAGGACTTCTGGAAAGTCTGGGCTGAAAACCAGTTAGAAGTGCGCTCCTCAGAAGTCAGGAGGAAGACAAAAACAGAGAAGACTCTGCCAAGAGTAGCAAAAAAGCAGCCTCTCAAAGTGATGTTAGACCTGTGGCTCAGTGATATTGGCATGAATCCATTCGCATTCCACCTCCTCGAGTGGGCCCAGAAGAGGGAAGATCTGGTGCAGCTGGAATGTACAAGGCTGAGGATCACAAGCAATTGCTTGCAAAAGATCACTCAGCTCTTGGAAAGCCTCAACCTTGATTCGGTGCAGCAAGTGGATGTGGATGAGTGGGACCTTCCCACCCTGGCTTATTTTGCCCCTTACCTAGGCCAGATGCAAAATCTCCACACACTAATGCTCTCTTACTTTTCTATGCACGCCATCATTTCCCCAGAGAAGATAGAGCAGATGATCACCCAAATCACTTCTCATTTTGTAAAGCTTCACTGTCTTCAGGAGATTTATATCGACACTGCCTTCTTCCAGGAAGGCTACCTGGACCAGGTGCTCAGGTAAGATGTGAAGCTCTCTCTGCAGAGTCAGAAGAGCCTTTTTCTGTTCTAGACACATTAGTGGATATGGACAGTGTGCCACCCATCTGAGGTGTGACAAAGATCATACACTGTAGAATCAACACATTGCCTTTTTCACACCTCAGTTCTAAAGCAGCATGTGACATAGCCGCTCTACATGAGTAGCCAGACTGCAAAGGGGCCACTGTGCTAGGATACCGCAAGTCAGTGGCCAGATACAGTGCGGGCAGGAGTGTGCTTTCTCCCTCAGAAAGCACATCTAGAGTAAAGTGCTGAGAAGCAGACAAGGCATATGGCACCAAGGAAAGACAAGAATTCACACTTCACAATGTGTGCACTGCTTGCTCAGGAGATGTGTGAGAGACAGTGATCCCACCATCCTGTTCTCCACTGGGAAAGGCTGCTGTTTGACTCCATCATAGGCTTCACAATCTCATCTGGATGTCACCCCGCTTTCCCCTGTGCCTTCCTCATCCCACACATTGGTTTCCCTCTCCTCCACTCTTCTGTGTCATGCTAGTCTTCTTCCCATTTCCTCTTCCTGCCTTGGATCCAGTCCAGTCCCTACTCCTAGTGTCTGTGGGAGCACACAGGGCCTTGCTGCTCCCTCCATTGCTGCCTCCCCATCCCCTCCATCTGCAGTCAGTGAGGCTGAGCAATGCCCAAGGTCTCTCTTATCCTTCTGGCAGTCAGGATCAGAATCCTCTCCTGAGAGGTGGGATGATGACCAGAGGTGAAGGGCAGGAGTCTCAAACTGAAGGCAAAGAGCAGTGCAGGGCTGGAACAAGGTCATAGCCTCTGCGGACAGCGTTTTTAGTCACCTCAATGAATGTGGTTAGACCTTGAATGATTTTTCCTTCCCGCCTGTCTCCTGCTCCCCTCAATAGGAAACAGCTGTGGTTTTCTACTTAGGAGAAAGCAAAGGTGACTTCAGAGACTAGTGGTGGGAAATGACCTCAGTTTAAATTGGGGTGACTCTAATGACACCAGGATTACCTAAGAGTTGTTGCCCAGCAACCACTCCTTTTCACTTCCTATGGCCAGATCTAACTGCTTGGTCTCTCTTGTAGGTGCCTGACATCCCCCTTGAAAACCCTCTGGATAAGATACTGCCGAATTTCAGACTCCAACTGGAACCAGCTGCCGCACTGTCCAAGCATCAGACACCTGAAACACTTGGCTCTGTATGGTTTGGACCTGACTCATAAGCTTGATTCCCTTAGATATCTCCTGGAAAGCATTGCAGCCACTCTGACCACCCTACACTTGCAGGTCTGTGGAATCATGGAAGTTGAGTTCTTGGACTTTTTGCCTGCCTTGAGTCACTGCTCCCAGCTCACTACCTTCAGCTACATGAGGAACTCCATGTCTCTAGCCACCCTGGAGAGGCTGCTGTGCCACACTGCCGGGATGAGCAACTTAACACTGGAGCTGTACTCACCTCCTGAAGAAGTTTACAATCCCAGGCACAATGTCCACCTGCCGAGCCTGAACCAGATGTGGGAGGTGCTGAGGAGGGTTGTGAAGCCATTGAACCATCCCAGGACGGTCTGGTTTTGTGCTGCTCACTTGGGCCTCTGTTCCAGCTGGGAAGTCTATAACCTGCACACTGCTCCATGCTCATCTTGTGCAGCTATCTAGTTGGACTCTGACACCCTATGCTTCCTTCTGGGCACCAGGAGCACAGAGCCTTGGGTTCATTCTGACTGAGAAAGGACAAATAGCATAACAGCAGCTACAGAGTTACCTTTGAATTATCTGGTTTCCTGCATGATTATGTTACCTTGTTTCCAGCTTAGACCACATGAATCTCCCAAAGGAGAAAAGGCCCTGAGCTGTCTGATCAGTGAGGTCTGGCCTCAGGAACTCACAGCAGCAAATGGAAATATCCCATAATGCTCATTCCCTCCCATTCTTAAAGTTTTCTCTAGCCACACATTACCTCCAATTTCTTTGCTTTTCTCTCTTCCCAATACATCCATGTTACATGGCAGTCACCTTAGGGTCTCCTCACTGAAGGCCACCCAGAAAACATTTTTGTTATCCAGATAAATCCCTTCTAAATTGTCTGGGTTGGGTAATACTTGGAATATACTGTGCTAAAGACCAAGAATGCCGTGATGAAAGATATGGACCATTATTCTCAGATGTTTTCCTCCACTATTCTATGCCGCTTTTTCTCTTGTGAATCCAAAAGATTGTCAAACTGAAGTGCACTTCAGATACTGAGTATATAGATTAGAAATCCTTTCAGAATTGCAGGAGGTGCACTCAGGAACATGCCTGTTACAGAAGGCCATGATGACTCGATAATGTTACATGGCTTTGATATACTTGTTTCTTCAATTTTGTAACATAAAAATACTGCCACTTAGAAAAGTCTCCCTAGAATGAGAGAAGGTAAGATGGTGTGGCCATTTGATATTTCCACTGATATTATTCAGGGGCCTTGAAGGAATGATCAAAAACAATTTTTCCCACATGGCACACAGCTGTTATTTCATATCCATCTGCAATAGGGATTGGAGAAAAGAGGATTAATGGTTGGAAGTGGATGGGAGAGGAGTATCCTGGAGCTAACAGTTGCAGATATGTGGCTTTGAGACTATCAAGCACAGAGATATTGGTACAAATAGAGAAGGCCTCCACCAGAGACAAGTCAGAGACCTTGATCTAACTAACTTTAGTTAGTCTACTGGATCACAAGGAGTCTCCTGAGCTCAGCCTCAACAGAAGCATCTTCCTGGATGTCACCAGGATGCTTATTCTTGCAGATCCATCTTGATGAGTGCACTGCTTCTCTATGAGCTGCCAAGCAAGGCCAGCTCAACAGTGAGACCACAGCCTGCACTGCTTTGCAGGGCCTGCCCACCCTGATCTCCCATGACATATTCATGGACACCTTCATGGGGGACCACAATGAGGTCCTGAATGTGATGGTGCATGCCTGGGTATTTCTGTGCCTCCCTTTGGGGTCCTTCCTGGAAATGAGGAAATTAGTGACCCCACAACCTGAACTAGGAAAGCTCTAACTGGAGAAGATAAACTTACAGACATGGAAAGTTGTGCTCCATGGGCGAGATATGCTTCTGGCCCTAAAACGCTGCCCCAGGGGAGCATGGACCAGGTATTCTGGAGGGAGGGTGTAGGGCACTGGGGGAAAAACAGTGGGGATCATTAAGAATGGGGGGGGCTGAGGCAATGTAGGATGGAGAAAAGCACCACGGGGTGGTGAGCATGGGGAGGTCCCGAAACATGCAGTGGCAATGTAGGATAGGTTTCTAAAAAACATCACGGGATGGTGCGCATTGGGAGGGTCTCTAACAGGCCATTCACATGTAGGAGTGAGAGAAACATCACGGGGTGGTGTGAATCGGGAGGGTCTGAATTAGGATAGGCAGTGAGTGGCAATGTAACAAGAGGCTCACAGAGACCATGGCCATGGCTGAGCACCATCTGGGAAGAGGCCTCCTGACTGCAAAGCTGTGTGTGCTGGCCATGCAGATCATGGGAGGAGCCTGAACCTGCCTCCTGCCACAGGGACTAGAAGTGGAACCAGGGTATTTGCTATATGTCAAGGGTACAAAAAGGAAGGCAAGAAAACTAAAAGAGCTGCCGATACACAGAAAGCAGAAGAGAAGCCCAGGTTGGAAGTTGAGTCTTTCCTCAGTTCAGGGTCTGCCTCCCTTTTCATCCACAGCAGGTGGAAACTGCAGGCACTGGATCTGAGGGACATGCACCAGGACTTCTGGATTGTGGGGCTCAGAGCCATGGCTCGTACCTGGACACCAGATAATGAACGTAGGGACCAGAAAGTGGATGACCATATGGTGCCGGTGATGACAGAGATTCTCAGCAAGAGCAGGGACCTCAGTGGATTCCAAACCTGTCTTTTGAGTGGGTCCAGCAGAGAGACATTTGGTTCACTTGTGCTGTAAGTAGATGGAGGTTTAGAAGATGCCTTTTGATACCTTCCTGGATGCCCTCAAGATGCTGAAGCTGAACTGTATTCAGGAAGTAGAAGTGTGCCACTTCTTGAGTGTGAGACACCTGGCATCATTGGCTCCTTACCTGGGCCAGATGAGAAATATTCAAAAACTTCCTCTCTTCATTCACTAATGGGTATTACAGGACCTCAGGAAGCCCCGCAGAGTATGTTGAGAAACTCATTCTTCACCTCTGGAAGCTGACCTGCCTGCAGGACCTCTAGGTGGACTGTGCCTATTTATTCAGAGGCCACCTTCACCAGCTACTCAGGAGAGGAGGGTGGACAGCTTTCCCTGCAGACCACCACAAAGCCTTTGCATTATGGGCTTAGGAGTGGACACCTTTGGTCTGCCTGCCATTTGTGAAATAAAAGTGATGGGGACACTAGAGTGTCCATGGATTGTTGTGTTCTGATTATATCTGTAGCAAGTTGTGGTAAAACTGTGAACATAAAATAAGAGGTATACTAAGCTAGCCAATCTAGAAAAGCTACCATGTTAACTGGCCAGCTGTTAGAGTCAGATACACAAGGGACAGGACTGTTGAGCTCTCCGTGCAAATCATGTGTAAAATGAGAGGCCAGGCCAGGCATGGTTGAAACACCTGTGACCCAGCATTTGGGAGCCTGAGGCAGGATTCCAAGTTTGAGACCAGTCTGACCTACAAAGTGAGTTCAAGGACAGCCTGAACTGCATAGTGAAACCCTGTCTCAAAAAGATGAGACAGGGTGGGTCGCTTAAGTCCAGCGGAGGCTTGGAACTCTCCTGTTTGCCTGCAGGCTGGGCTACTCCAGCTCCCTGTTGGTCCAGTAAGACCAGCAGAGGCAGGGAAACCCGCGCTAGGCCGGGTGAACTGTTTTCTTTGCCTGGGGCCCAGGATTCGGCTTCCTGTCCAAATCAGTGAGTAAGGAGGGAGCAGGGACCTCTGTTCCAGCCTGGCTGACCTCTCTACCTCACTTGGAACAAAACTTGAAGCGCAAAAATATAGGAAAATGACAAAATGAAAGACCAAACTGCAGTCTCAAACATCCAGCCCATCCCAAGAAAGCCTAGGAGCCATGTGTATAGAAGAAAATATATGCCACATACTTGAAATACCTGAAATAATAGTAACTGAAATAAAGAAGCAACTCTGGGAAGCCTTAAAGGAAATCAAACTAGAAATAATCTCTCAGGTAAAAGAAGAAATGACAAAAGAAATGAAGGAGGTGCTGAACATATCTAAAGAAGACACAGTTAAAAAACTTGAGGAGATAAAAAAAAATAGAATCCCTGGATGAACAATATAAGAAACAAACAGAATATATAAAGCAGATGCAAAGAGATATACAGGAAATCAAAAACTCCATCGAAAGTTGTAAAAACTTCAATGAATGTGAAGATAGAATTTAAGACCTTGAAGACAAGATTGCAGCCAGTGAACAGTAAAGGAAAGATCTTTTAAAAATAACAAGAAATTAGGAAATAATAATTCAACACCTGCAAGATGACACAAAAAAGGAACAACATAAGGTTAATAGGGATAAATGAAAAAGAAGGGAACAACATAAAGGATGTCAAGAGGATATTTAGAGAAGTAATAGCCGAAAATTTCCCAAACATGAGACTGGAAACCTATATCAAGATCAGTAAAGCATATAGCACTCCAAATAGCCATAACCAAAATAAAACTACACCCAGACATATAATAATCACCATTCCAGAAATCGAACAAAAGAACAGAATATTAAAAGCTGCAAGAGAGAAAAGACAGATTATCTATAAAGGAAAACCTATCAGAATCACAGCAGCCTTCTCAGCACAAACAATAAAGTCAAGAAGAGCATGGAGTGAAGTATTTCAGATCCTAAAGGAAAATGATTTCCAATCCAGGCTGATGTATCCTGCAAAACTGTCCTTCAAAATGGATGGAGAAATAAGATACTTCCATGGCAAATAACAGCTGAAAAAACTACATGATCACCAAGCCAACCCTGCAAAGAATACTGAAAGACAGCCTATATGCATCTGAGAAAAAACCACTAAACAAGGCAGACAATTAAACAGAACCGAAAGACAAAGATGCAAGAGCAGAAAGATAACATGTCAACAATAAACCAATATATAACAGTTATAACCATTAATGTAAATGGTCTCAATGCACTAATTAAAAGAAACAGGCTGGCAGAATGGATCAAGAAACAAAATCCAACCATATGCTGTCTACAAGAAACCCATCTAACCCAAAAGGATACCGACAGACTGAAAGTCAAAGGATAGAAAACAATACTTTATGCAACAGGAACCCCCCCAAAAAAAAGCGGGGGTGGCTATTCTGTTTGCAGACAATGTGAACTTCAAGCAAATAATGATCAGAAGGGATAAAGAAGGTCACTACATACTGGTTAGGGGAAAAATCCAAAAGGAAGAGATAACTATCTTAAATATATATGCACCCAATTCCAGAGCACCCAGTTATATAACAGAAGTACTAACAGAAATGAAAAACCAAGTTAACAGTGACACAATTCTTACAGGAGATCTTAACACACCATTGACACCAATGGAAAGATCAACCAGAGAGAAAATCAGCAAAGAAATAAAAGAACTGAATCACACATGTGAACAAATGGACTTAATAGACATATACAGAGTATTCCACCCAACAACAACAGAATACACATTCTTCTCAGCAGTACGTGGGTCATTTTCTAAAACACACCATATATTAATTCACAAAACATATCTAAATAAATGCAAAAGGGTTGAAATCATCCCTTGCATGCTATTGGGCCATAGCGCTATGAAATTAGAAATTAATGATAAAAGATACTACAAAATTCCCACAAACACATGGAAACTGAATAACATACTCTTGAGTAATCAGTGGGTCACAGAGGAAATCAAAGAAGAAATTAAACACTACCTACAAGAAAATGAAAACACAAATACAACTTATTGGAATCTGTGGGATGCAATGAAAGCTGTCCTCAGAGGAAAATTTATAGCGCTGAGTTCACACATCAGGAAAACAGAACGAATACAAATAAATAACCTGATACTACACCTCAAACATCTAGAAAAAGAAGAGCAAGTCAAGCCCAAAGCCAAAAGAAGAGAAGAAATTATAAAAATCAGAGCAGAAATCAATGCAATAGAGACTACAAAAAAATCTAAAAAATCAATGAATCAAAGAGTTGGTTCTTTGAAAGAATAAATAAAGTTGATAAGCCCCTAGTCAACCTTATTTAAAAAAGGGAAGAAAAAGCTCAAATTCATGCAATAAGGAATGAAAGAGGAGAAATCACTACAGACCCTATAGAAATACAGAAAATCATCAACACCTATTCAAAAACCTCTACTCTCAAAGGTTTGATAACACAGAGGAAATTGACAGATTCCTAGAAGCATATGAAGTACCAAAGCTAGGTCACAAAGATGTAAAACTACTGAATAACCCAATTTCTACTAATGAAATCAAAAAGGTAATTAAATCCTTACGTACAAAGAAGAGTCCAGGCCCAGACAGATTCACTGCAGAATTCTACAAGAAATACAAAGAAGACCTAATGCCAACACTTCTCAAACTCTTCAATGTAATTGAAAGAGAATCAATTCTTCCTAAGTCATTCCTGGAAGCAAATATTACTCTAGTACCAAAACCTGAGAAAGACCCAACTAAAAAAGAGAACCACAGACCAATCTCCCTAAAGAACACAGATGCAAAAATCCTCAATAAAATATTGGCAAATAGGATGCAGCAAATCATCAAGAAGATCATACACCATGACCAAGCGGGATTCATCTCAGGCATGCAGGGATAGTTCAATATATGTAAATCAATAAATGTAATATACCCTATTAATAGAGCCAAAAATAAGAACCACATGATCATTTCTATAGATGCAGAAAAAGCTTTTGATAACGTCCAACATTCATTCATGATAAGAACCCTGCAGAAAATCGGAATAGATGGTCTTTACCTCAATATAATAAAGGCCATCTATGACAAACCAACAGCCAATATCATACTAAATGGCCAAAAATTGAAGGCCTTTACTTTAAAATCAGGCACAAGACAAGGATGTCCTTTATCACCGCTCCTATTTAATGTAGTACTGGAAATACTAGCCGAGCAATTAGACAAGAAAGAGAAACAAAAGGCGTAAAGATAGGAAAAGAGGAAGTTAAGCTATCATTATTTGCAGATCACATGATACTCTATATAGAAGATCCCCAAAACTCCATTGAAAGACTGCTAGATATAATAAATAAATTTAGTAATGTAGCTGGCTATAAAATCAATACTCAAAAATCAATGGCATTCTTATACACTAACAACAAAGTCACAAAAAGAGAAATAGAAGCCACACCCTTCACACTAGCAACCAAAAAAATGAAATATCTAGGAATTACTCTCACAAAAGAAGTAAAAGACCTGTACAGGGAAAATTATATTACACTGAAAAATGAAACTGAAGATGATCTCAGAAAATGGAAAAACATCCCTTGCTCATGGATAGGGAGAATAAATATTGTGAAAATGGCCATTCTCCCAAAACTTTTATACAGATTAAATGTGATCCCGATAAAAATACCATGAACATACCTCATAGAACTCGAGAAATCAATCCTAAAATTCACCTGGAGTGAGAAGAGACCTAGCATAGCAAGGACAGTTCTAAGCAGCAAAGGCAAGGCAGGAGGTATCACAATCCCTGACTTCAAACTATACTACAAAGCAACCGTAGTAAAATCAACATGGTACTGGAACCAAAACAGAGCTGAAGATCAGTGGAATAGATTAGAAGATACAACCACAACTGCAAACACACTCAACCACCTTATCTTCGATAAAGCGGCCAAACAGGTTCACTGGGAGTACGACAGTCTCTTTAATAAATGGTGCTGGAAAAACTGGCTCTCCATATGTCGAAAGCTAAAACTAGACCCATGCCTATCACCATGT